CTCCTTAGGAGGTGCTGCTCCTGCCCAAGGCATCCTTGAGACTCACGGGACACAAGCCAGGTTAGACTGTTTTTTCAGGGTAGATTCTTCCTTCTCATTTTCACGAAAGGTTAGGCCTAGAGTTCCCTGAAAAGCAGCATTGAATTAGACAGCCTGGGTTCAAACGCCAGCTGTGCCACCTACTAGCTATTTGACCCTTGGGAAATTACTTAACTTCTTCATGCCTCCGTTTCTTCACCCACAAAGCAGGTGGACTATAAAGGAATCTTAACTATCTCACAGGCCGCTGAGGGCACAAGAGGCAATACATACCCAGTGCTTAACGGCAGGGGACGGCAGGTGCAAGCGCGCACTGCAGTCAGTGGTCCAACTGTGTGCCTCCCGGGGGCCAAGCACACTGCTAGACACTCATAAAGGGCATTAAAAAAATTTTTTTAAAGAAAGGATGAGGGTGCTCTCTCTCTTTTTTAAAAAAAAAATATATCTTTATTGATTTCAGAGAGAGGAAGGAAGAGGGAGAGAGATAGAAACATCGATGATGAGAAAGTCATTGATTGGCTGCCTCCTGCACGCCCTCGACTGGGGACTGAGCCCGCAACCCGGGCATGTGCCCTGACCGGGAATCGAACCATGATCTCCTGAATCCTAGGTCGATGCTCAACCGTTGAGCCACACCCGGCCGGGCGGCATTAAAATTTAATGGAAGTAGAGTGCAAAGTAGAGAAGAGTCAGGAAGAAAGAAAACAGTCAGTGCTGCCTAGCCAGGCCCTTGGAGCTGCTGGAAGAAGGCTGTGTAATGGGCCTGTCTCCTCTCAACGGTTCACCTCTATCTCTGAGGCCCTGGACGCTTTGTTCCAAAGACCTGAAGTAAAATCCCACACAGTGGTTCAGTGAGTCCAGGATGGTAGCACTGGGAAGCAGGGCTCCAGGAAACCCAGGCCTGCGCAGGGTCAGGCACAGCTAGATCACAATGTCCCTACCTCCCCTGACATGAAATTCCCTTCTCCCAGGCATTAGAAGAGATCTGCCCAGGCACAGGCTATGAAAGCCCTGTGCCCACTGTAGGGGAGGATTACTCCACTGGTAAATCCTGCCTCCACCATAATCCTAGTGCTCAGAGAAAGAATGCCAAGCCAAAACGCCCCCCCACTAGCTCAGACCAACTCTGTGCTGGGACAACTGCCCGAGTTTTCCTCCTCTCCTTCGTTCTCCTGACCCCTTGGACACAATTCCCACAATCTTCCCCCTCAATTCAGTGAACACCTTTTAATGAGACATGTCCCTCTCCCACACTATCAACTCCTCCATCCCGTTTCCTAAGAATATTCCATTCTCCTGCTTGCCTCCCTTTCACCAAGGCAAACCAGGGACCCCACACTGTTTTGTGATTGATTATGAACAAGGTTCTGGTTCAATTTGACACACCTTAAAGGTTCAAAAGAAGAAACTCCTATCTCCCCTTTGAGGAGCCAAGAGGTATATTTTCAAGAACACTAGCTTGATGAAATGTATCCTAAGCCTGATGCTACTGTGCCCACCAGAAGGCCTTCAGCCCCTAGGTGGGAAGTGGGACCTCTACTAACGAAGGAGGGATGAGAAGCGTTGGTAGTGCTGGCAGAGCCCTCTGTACAGTCGGTGCACTGCACAATGCCAGGGGGCGCCATTCACACTGTGGCACCCTAAAGTTATGCAATGCAGTGGCTCTGAGCTAGCAGCTTCCTCCCTTTCTGCAAAAGCTGCCAACAGATCCCCAGAGCCTTCCTTGACCCTGTCCTCCTGCAGCCAGAGCTACCCTTAAATGGGGCTTTAGAGGAAATCTGCCCTAAAAAAGCCTGAGGTCACCCAAATCAATACATGCCCTATAGCTTTCCATGAATCCTATGGGAGCAGGTCCTGCAGAATTTCAAATCTGGTGCCTGGGAGGAAGGGGGAAGTGGTTGGCACCAATACAGGGAGACAGGTGGGCAGCCCTGTGCCAGGGGTCAAGCAGCCAATCATTTATCCTCCCCCACAGAGTTGGCTATTGGAAGCAGGTGGAGGAAGGGAGGTGGGGAGGCATCTTTTATTTTTAAACCTTTACTGTTCTGATTAAGCATTTCTTTTCCCTCTGACCTTCACCATCACATTTTGGAAGATCAAACAGCCAGTGAGTCTGAGGGAGGCCTGGACCAGTGACACATGGATTCTGGATGGGCCAGCCTGCT